AAGACACCATTCTTCTAACACTGCACGTTGAGTGTACATACACTACGTTAACTGCAGCAGTTCAAGAAGCTGGTTCATCTTCTCAAAGCTAATTACAGATGATGTACCCCCCAACAGTCACATCCTACGGAAAAACCAAAAATATGTCCATATACTTCCCTGCTTTATTCTCCCTGGCACATTTCATTTCTCACAATCTTACCCTAGAATACAGAGCCCAGTTTCCCACTTGAGATCAGCAGGTTTTACTGCTCAGATGTTCAATTTCTAACCAGTGCGTTGGCAGGAGAGGGATGTTCCTTTAAATATTTAATATTAAGCTTATGAAGTTGAAGCCTTCAGCACAGTCAGCTCTGCTTAAATCAGGTCACTGTATGTAATGGAATCGTGTCCCCCTTCATTTTGATAGAAAAGTGCTGGTACAATACTTAGTGTAACCAAACACATTCCTTCCTCCTCATCATTGATTACAAATCTCCTGATGCCTATGTAACCAGCATGGAAGGTGTGGTCCAGACAGGTCAGGAGAGAGGTGGGGATTGCAAAGAGGTTGTTATGACAGAGAAACAAGTGGTCCAAGAGGTAGCCCTGTTAAAAAGGAAAGTGCACCAGTAACAAAAATTTGAAGCACTGCTTCAATCCCACCATAACCTCTCTTAACTTTGAAGCAGCTTCTTACATTATACCATGTATTGCATCAGTTTATAATTAGTTCTTTCCACACAGTCTTAAGATCTTGCCCATCAAAAGAGGTAAGCTTCTTTCTCGGTAAACAGCTGTGTATATTTGCATGCTTTGTTTCCATTATTATGGATCAAAGGCTGATCTATCCCAAGATTATAACTTTTAAATGTCAGATCTGTCTCTCTCTTCAGGAAGTTCAGAAATTGAAAGGCTTGATTGTTTCAGTTGAGGTTTCTTAGATTAGGTGAACAGAGCATCACATAGCTTTTAATTAAAGCCCACAATAACTGTAATGATTTGACAAAGTTTAACACCCAATCTTATTGTCTGGCATTGTGTGGGCAGATGTGCTTTATTATTTCAAAGGATCAGAATTTTGTTCCGCCCATTGCCCTTTTCATTCTTACTGATGTACACTGGTTAGTACACTGTTTATTTTGTTAATTGTTCGAGTTCCACTTTAGTCATTGTACCAGCTATTTATGAATTCAAGATTTGAGCTTGAATCTGGTGGCCTGTTTCAAAAGGCTGACTGTTTGCAGCCCCATGATGGTTGGCTTGAATGAAGGTTGTAAGGGAGCTCAGAAAATTGGGGAAGCCCCTATCAGGATGATACCCTGTCACATTCCTCTTGTCAGGAGCTTTCCTGAGCTGGGATGAGAATAGGATTCACTGCCCATCCCACTCGGGCTGGCAGCTATTCGTGATGGTTCAGGATTAGGTCAGAGGGCATGCTCTGCACCTCTGATATTTGTCAGTGTAGGAGTGGCCCCTTCCTTCCCTACCACAGGAAGAGACAACTAGTTCAACGAGGGTGACCACCCTGCAATAGTGTGTGTGGAGGGTGGTATGTGTTTGAATTTGAGGGGATAATCAGAGCTAGAGGTTCTATGCGTCATTGATAGGGAGAGAGCAAGAAAGGTCACACCCGTGGCCAACAAAACCAGGGGTTCTCAGACACCTGAAGGCTTCAGTCCACATATCTTTGAATGCAGTCCACACTTCAAAGAATACCTCCATGTTTAGGCATTTTCACTCTCCCTGAACTCTGTCACCACTATCCACCTCCCTCAGTGGGGCTGTCAGGGCTCTAGATCTGAGAGTCCTTTGATTAGATCCAATCCTAGGCAGCATCAGAGGTCCACCCTGCCTACTGTCCTGCAAACTCCCTATATTTGTGAATGCAGAAGTGCACCTTTAGGAGGGCCCCTCCAAAACAATTGCTCTCCTGGCTTTCAGGATCCCCTTCGAGAACAGACAGTCTTCATCAATGACACCCTGACGATGGCTTGGGACCTCCATTCAGTCCCAAGGTCAGGGTCCAAACCCCACAGGAAAATGCAGCCCGGTGTGTCAGCTGTGGCTCAGTTGGTAGCACTGTCACCTGTTTTTACAAATCTACTCCAAGACCTCAGCACAACAATCCAGGCTATCATTCCAGAAGCAGTACTGAGGCAGTGTTGCTCTATCAATAGGGCCAGAATTGAGGGAGTGCCCCACTGTCAGAATATCAGTTCTGAGGAAGTGCCACACTGCCAGAGGATCAGTATTGAAGGGATGCTGCGATGTTAGAGGCTCAGTACCAAGGTTGCATTGCACTGTCGCAGGTTCAGTGCCAAAGGCACACTGCACTGGCAGGGGGGAGTCATGAATAAGGATGTGCTGCACTGTTGTGGGGTTCAGAACTAAAGGTGTGCTGTATTATTGGAATGACAGTAGTCAGGGAGAGCTATATTGTTGGAGGATCAGTACTAAGAGGGTGATGCAGTATCAGAGAATCAGTACTGAGGAGGTGCTGCACAGTGGTAGAGAGAATAGTTAGTTTAATATTGCAGTTCTGCTGCCCTTTCATTGGAACCCATATTACTTGCTCATCTCTCCACTTGGTTTGAACACCTCCAAACCTCAGCTGTTCTTTCCCACAACTGCTAAAGTTCTGTTCTAACACTTATTCTTTATTTGACTTCCTGTATGTGCAGTACTTATGTCTTCAGGTATTTACAGCATCCAATTTCAACTCTCATTGTAAAAGCATTTTATTTTTTGTTTGAAAAAAAAAGTTCATGCCCTTGAAAGGAGGATTAAAGGTTTTGGAAACATCTTTTCTCATGATGCAATCTTGCTCATGGTTTTAGCTCCACCAGTTGGGTATGACAGAAATCCACAGCCATCTTTGCACAATCAGTTTGGAGCAAGACTACAGGCAGCTTTGACCACATCCTTGTACAGCCAGGCACTTTCACTTCTGTAAATAACTCACCTCAGTGACCTACCTACCCTCACGTGCTGTTTAAAGGTTAACACAACCCCACAGGAAATAGCACCCACAGCAATGTTGAGAGCTTTTAGTAGATAGACAAAAGGAACTATTACCTGTGGGTCAATGATATAAAGTCTTTGGCAAAATATCTAGGAGAGATGAGGGGTTGTGGGTTGTATTCAGTTCCAAACTGACCAACTATTAACGTACTGAGTTGGAGTTGGGAGAGGAGTATGGTGATAGCCTTAAATTTAGGTTGGACTTCTGCACTTCAGTGGACAGAAAGTCCCACCCTCAATTGCTGCCAGTGAATCTGATTGGCTGGCAGCTCTTGCAGTCCCAGAAGCACTAGAACTCTGTAGGGGGCTGTGATGTTGTTGGACCTGTGTAGATCCCAGGTACTTTTAGATGGAAAGGGGTCAAGCACCCAAGGGAGGAAATACACGTAGGTGGGAGAATGGGTTTTGAAGGCTGGATAGGGAGGAACAAAGGAGTTTAACAGCTTGGCAATGTAACTCCTGAAGCGCACAGGATGCCTCTTCTGAATGATACATCCATCCCTCTGCCATTCATTTTCACACTTTAAACAAAGTTGTGGAAAAGTCTTTCCACCTTCACTCACCTGCCATTGTCCAGATATTTGTGTGTGTGAAGGTGGATTGAGAGCCTTAAATGTGTGAAAATTTGTCCTCAATAAGCCTAAGGGCAGCTGGGTTAGTGGGAGCCTTACCCACACCTTCTGCTATGGAGAACTTTGGGTGGCCACCTGGCATATTTTATAAACCAACACACACACACAATACACAAATAAAAGCAAGCTGTAAAGTCCAACCTAAGGAGAAATTGATATTCCCTTAGAGTCATTGGAATGCTTAAACAAAATTACTGGTGGGACCAGATTCGATAAACAGTTTTATAAAGAGAGTTGGACAAATACTGGAGGATAAAGAACTGAAAGGTTTACAGACAAAAACTGAGGATACAGGAATAAGCATGACTGATTTTGGAAAGAGCCATTTCTGGCACAACCATACATAATGGTGATTTTCTGTACTGTACGTTTCTAGGGTTCTATGAACAAAGACTTACTATGGCAAGTTATTATTTAATGGCTGCCTTATGGAATTATTATGGAATCTTACAACCATGTTCTTTTCTGTCTCCAATTCAATTCCCTCCAAGCCACTAAGTACTGTATTATCAGCACCTCCTCTGTTTCCAGTGACCAAGGAGCCATTCTTCTTTGCTCAGCCTAAGGTATCTCCTGTGTTGCTCAGTTCCTGAAATGGTTCAAATCCCACATTATGTAGGCTGATGCCATAGTGCTGTATGAGAAAACCCTGCATAGTCAGAACATACAGCACTTATTTGTTCATGGGATCTAGGTATCACTGGATAGGCCTGGATTTATGTGTCATTTCTTTGACCTGAGAAGGTGGTAGTGAACTATCTTCTTAAACCGCTTCATGTGCTGCAGTACAACCTGAGTTTGGGGAGGGAATTCCAGGATTCTGACCCAGAAATAGAGGAGTGACAATATAGTTCTAAATCAGGGTAGTGTGTGATTTGGAGGGGAACTTTCAGGTGGTGGTGTTTTCACATATCAGCTGTCATTTATTCTACGTGGCAGAAGTTGTGGGTTTGAAATGTGCTGTTGAAGGAGCTATGGTGAGTTATTGTATTGCATCTTGTGGACCCTGCACATTGCTGCCATTATGTATCTATTATAAAGGGAATGAATGTTAAAGGAGGTGGATGAAAATCTTCAATTCTAGACAGGGTAGAGCTGAAAACTGGTACCTCCTCTCATGTGCGGCATCACTCGGTTCTGTTCCGGTGCAGGTGAACATTGAGAATGAACCACTTTATTATTGAATTGTATTGAAATTACAGACTGATACCTCTTTGTCGTGATTCTATGTTAATGATCTCATGGATGCTTTTCAACTTGGATTTGTTTGGTTTCCCATAGTTCATGAATTTAACCACACTGAGAAACTTTTCCAGTTCACAATCAACATTTTAAATAGTAAAATGCCTTTCTTCTGAATTTCAGAAAGAGATGACATTGCGGATATGCCACTGAAAGGTTATAAGAGATTCCAGTTAACTACAGACCCCAGCAAGCATCAACGTGCAAGCAACATATCAGCTCTCTCCTCTGCTTGCATCTACATCACTGGGACTAATGCTTCAATGACAGATAAAACCCAACAGCAACCTCAGGCAATTTTTGTGCATTTGTGTGAAATACTGAAAACATTGTCTTATTGGGAGATATTAGGAGCCGCACTCTGTAATTTTAAACTGTTTGTTCCCTTTAATTTTTCAACAGCCCATAAACAGTCACTGCCTGTAAGTGGTATATACAGCCCGATCCATCAGTATGTATTGGTTAACAGACTTCAGTCTGACAGCTGATATCAGTTTTATTTAGAGCATAGCTAATGGTTCATACCTATCATCATAAAATGATCAGTGGGAGGGGGCTGAGTACTGCAGTAAACTCAAAAAGCTCTCTTTTATTTAATCTCTGGCTTTATATCTATCTATTTGCATGATCAGATGAAAGATTCCTTTCTGAATTGGGTGCACAGAGTTGTGGATTTGAAGAGATTGGTAATGACAGTGCAACTTACCAGCTCTAAACTCAGGCAAAACCAGGATGCTTGCTTCATTTCATGTCACCCCTTAATGCTAAAGGACAGTGAAATGAGCATTCTATTTGCATACTTTTTCCTCAGTATTATTCTCCCTTATTCTGATGTGCTTGCTGGCATGTATCTCCTATTTCAAGGATCGTAACTTCCCCCCTCTGGTGATTGAAAATGCCCTTGATGATATCTCTTGCATTTCCTGCACTTCTTCTGTCCTTATATCCCCTCCCCCCAACAAAAATAAAGACAGAATCCCCCTTGTTCTCACATATCACCTGACCAACCTCCACATCCAACCTATCATTCTCTGCCACTTCCACAACCTACAGTCTGACCCCACAACCAAAGAGATATTTCCTTCCCCACCCCTATTTGCTTTTCATAGGGACTGCTCTCTCCATGAATCCCTTGTCTGCTCCACACTCCCCACTAGCCCCACCACTCCCGGCACCTATCCGTGCAACCGCAGGAAGTGCTACACCTGCCCCTACACCTCCCCCCTCACCTCCATCCAAGGCACAAAACAAACCTTCCATATCAGACAGGAGTTCACCTGCACATCCGTCAACTTGGTCTACTGTATCCGCTGCTCCTGATGTGGCCTCCTCTACATCGGTGAGGCCAAGTGTAGACTCGGAGAGTGTTTTGTAGAGCATCTGCGATCTGTACGCAACAAACAACAACACCTTCTGGTCGCCAATCATTTTAACTCCCCCTCTCACGCCCTGGATGACATGTCCATCCTGGGCATCCTCCATTGTCACAATGATACCACCTGCAAACTGGAGGAGCAACACCTCTTATTCTGCCTCGGGAGCCTACAGCCTGATGGTCTAAACATGGAATTCACCAGTTTTAAAATCTCCCCAAACCTGCCCTCATCCCAGGTCCAAGCCTCCCTCTCATTCCTGCCTCCTTGACCTGACACAACCTGTCCATCTTCTCTCCCACTTATCCACCCCACCCATCCCACTGACCCAGCCCCACTACTCCCTACCTGCACTCTCCTATCACCATCCCACCTACCTTCCCCAGCCCCAACCCTCCTCTCTCTATTTATTTCCCAGCTCCCTTTCCCCTCCCCATTTCTGAAGAAGGGTCCCAACCCGAAATGTCAACTTTCCTGCTCCTCTGATGCTGCCTGACCTGCTGTGTCCCTCCAGCTCCATACTGTGTTATCTCTGTAGTTCCTAACCTCCTTCATAACATTGACCTATTTGCCAGGAATTGTTTCCTTGAATATTCTGTTGCCTGAAATCCCTCTCCTGCCTACCATCTAGCTAGGGCTTCCCATCATGTCCAGGTGGGAGTCGCTGGCTGATCAGGCCCAACAGTTAAAATCGCCCAGGCCTCAGGCTACAGTGGAGGAAATGGTTTCCCATCCACTTAAAATCTGTTATATAAAATCAGCAGCTAAGAGCAATTTCTGCAAAAGGAGAAATTGTTTCTGTCTACCCTATAGAATCCTTTTAATGTTTTGTACACCTCACTCAAATCATCACTTAACCTTAGAAGGGCTGAGTTTATTGTGAACACCACAGCTAGGTGCCGCAGTGTCCATTCATACACAGGAGATGCCAGGAACCTGTCCTGCATTTTCTGTTTTGAGTTATTTTCCAGGGTATGTGACCTACATACTACCCAGTCCAGATGTTTCCCCCCACCTAGCCAGAAACTCACCGACTATGGATCTAACAAACAAGCAACTGTCCACCAGCATGACTTACACTGCATGTGCCCTCAACACTCTTTGGTACAGTTCCTGTCCACTGCCCTCCACACACTATAGTTGCTCAGCAGGGGAAGCATTGCTCTACATCACCCCAGCTTTCTTGGCACACACCCAACCCCACCCAACCAACATCTCTCTGGTCATCTTGCCTCTAGTTTGCCTGGCCTCCTCTCTTCCAGTCTTCCCATTGCCTTGCCACAAGTCTCTTCCTCAACAGCTGCTCCTGCAGGAGGCACAGTGGGTGGCATCATTCCATGTGCATTTGCTGATATTACTGTGCACACAGACATGGTGACATCAGTGATGAATGTACGGACGCTCCTGCAGTCTGTCACGACCAGCTGATATCACGTGCGTGTGGGGAGTGGGGGGCAATTTGACGTCCATATTGGAGTAATCATTCTGATCTTAGAATACTAGCCAGGTTAATAAAATCTATCTGCATATTTTTACTTCCTTTCTTATATGCTGTTGGTCTAAGTTGTTTGTGATTCTGACAAATGGTCACTGAACTGAAAGGTTAATCCTACCTTCCTCTCTTCACAAATGCTGTGAACTGAGGGTTTTCAGAATTTTCAGTTTTTATTTCAGATTTCCAATGTTTTCTGATTTAACTTGGTTCAAATCAAGTTACTTTCCCGTTGTTCCACAGCGTTAAGTCAAACATGTTCATTACGCCACTATTTCTCATTGTTTCACAGCCTTAGATGTCAGTAATTCTCCTCACAAGGAACATTCAAGTAGCATTCAGTATTAAATAGAGCTTTATAGGCACAATGAAAACATTCCAGTTGTCACTCAGATGGCACAGACTCAGAACAAATAGGGAAAATGCAAGAATTTGAGCTTTGAGCAGTCACTATTTCATAAAATCTCAATAGAATCTAGAACTGCTTTCTACCACTTCTGACCTTTAAATTCATAGAATCATAGAATTTACTGTACAGAAGGAAGCTATTCAATTCATCATGTCTGCACTGGCTCCTGAAAGAGCTACCCAGCTCTATCTCCAAAACTCTCTAAATTCATCACTTTCAAATATATTGCACGGTGGCTCAGTGGTTGGGAGTGGCACGATAGCTCAGTGGTTAGCACTGCTGCCTCACAGCACCAGGGATGTTTCCAACTTCGGGTGACTGTCTGCATGTGTTTCCACTGGGTGCTCTGGTTTCCTCCCACAGTCCAAAGATATGCAAATTAGGTGAACTGGCCATGCTAATTTGCCCATAGTGCTCAGAGATGTGTAGGTTAGGTGCATTAGCCATGGGAAATGCAGGGTTACAGGGCTAGGATAGGAGAATTGGTCTGGGTGGGATGCTCTTTAGAGGGTTGGTGTGGACTTGTTGGGCTGAATGGCCTGTATCCACATTGTGGGGATTCTATGATCTTCTCTATATCCAGTTCTCTTTTGGAACCTACTATAGAATCTGCGTCTGCCACTCTTCCAGGCAGCACATTCCAGAGCCTAACAACTCTGAGTAAAGAATTATCTCCCCAGTTCACTCCTGGCTGTCTTGCTGACAGTCTTGAAATTGTGACCTCTAGTTATTGATACACCAACTAGTGGAAACAGAATATCCTCCTTTACCCTGTCAAAATTTGTAATTACTTTGAACACGTCAGTAATGTCACCACCTAATCTTCTATGCTCCAGGGAGAATGGGCTAATTTCTCTAATTTTTCCTTGTATGTAAAATCCCTCATTCCTAATATTATTCTCGTACATCTCCTTTGCATTCTCTCCAAGGCTTTAACCTCCTTCTTAAATAAGGTGCTCAGAAATGAACACAACACTCCAAATATGGTCTGACCAATGATTCATACAGGTGTAAGATCACTTCCTTGGTTTTATACTCTATGCCTCTATTGATAATCTCAAGGATCCTGTAATCCTTCTTAACAACTGTTTCAACTTGCCTGGCCACCTTCACAGAATTATGCAAGTTAATCCAGAGGTCCCTTTGCTCCTGCACTTCCCTTAAATTTGTACCATTGAGCCTGTATTGTTTCTCTGTGTTTCTTCTACCAAAATGTATACATTTCTCTGCATTGAAATTCATCTGCAAGGTGAGTGCCCATTTGGCCATCTTGTCAATGTCCCTCTAAAGTCAGTCAGCACCATCCTGTTGACTATTCTCCCTATCTTAGTTTCATCTGCAAATTTACAGACACCCATCATTTATAAAAATCAGAAAAAGCAAGGGTTCTGACACCGATCTCTCGGAAACACCACTTTCAACACGTTTCTAATCTGAGAAATGCCCATCTATACCTACCCTGTATTTCCTAGCTTTTTGCCAACTTCTAATCCATGCTGCCAAGGACTCATCAATCCTGAATATTTCTAATTTGCTAACCAACCTGCCATGTGGCACCGTATCAGAGTTCTGAAAGTGTGTTAAATTGATCTCATGGTTATCCCTAGGCATATTCTAAGCAATAGCTTTGTGCTGAAGAATTGGTTTATCAGCTTGCTGAAACATTTGGGATGACATGTTGAAAGATGGCTCTAAGAATGCAACCAGATGACAGAAATCATTTGTCAAAAATCAATGATTCAAACCATCACTGCCAATTACATATTCTGTACCAACCAAAGCTTAGCAATAATTCGGTACGCCAGCAGGTGCATCATAAAAAAAAAAAATCACAACATGGTAGGATGCAATTATGTTTGGTCACCAGACTTCTTACACATTGATTTTCAATGGTCTAGTTGGAAATGGTCTCCGAGAATAGCTGTGTGGGGATGACGGTCAAGCCAAACTGAAACCATTCTCGGAGACCACCAGCAGACATTTGCTGAGAAGGTGGCATTCCTTCAATGCACTCATTTGAATTAATAATAATCTACTCATTAATCAGAAAAAAAATTTTGACTTATTTGTTTATCTTCTATTCTATCCTTTACAAAAATAAGGAGCAACAGATGCTTTAAGATCAAATTGAGATTTATTCAGTACCATTCTTATTTATTGAACTTAAAATTGTAGCAGATCCATGCATTGTCAGAACTTTTACAGTTCTGTGATTGAATCTGAGAAAATTTAACCAAGAAGATGACAATAAAAATGTTTAAGAAGTGTGGTGAGGCTGAGGGTTTTTGAATGATACAAGGAGAATGCTTGTTGCTCCTTGCAATTAATGGAAGTATTTAATTGGTAATGTGTTTTGAGACATTCTGTGGTTATAAAAAGCACATTGTAAATACAAACTCCCTTCTATCTAAGACTTTGGACGCTGGAAATCTGAAATAAAAGCAAAAATGTCTGGAAATAGTGGGTTAGACAAAGGTTATGAACCTGTAAGTTTGTTTCTTTCTTCATAGATGCTGCCTGACCTTCTGAGTCTTTGTAGGAATTTCTGTTTCTGTTCCACAAACAGTAAATCTTTACTTAAAGTTGGGGATTTGTTCCTGAAAACCATGACTTTAAGTGAAACCTGAACCATCACATCTTCTGTCGAATCTTCCTTATCAGAAATGAACAGATATTAAAACATTAGACCCTGTAATTTGG